CCGATGTCTCCGAAGCATTGCTCGTGTCTGGTGGGAACACCGGGTGAGCAATGATGAGGTCCGTCGTCGTGTGCTTGGTGCAGATAGTCGCCCTCTAACAGAAGTAATCGCTCTACACCGCCTCCGATGGCTGGGTCACGTATTGCGTATGCCTGCCCATCGACTTCCTTTCCGTGCTCTCTTTGCACGTGCCGGGCAAGGCTGGAAGAAGCGGCGCGGCGGTCAGACCATGACATGGGCTAGAGGCATGAAGAAGCTGGCTTCAACTTTGGCTTCGGTTGGTGCAGCCCGCCTTCCAGGTTGGGGCCCAAGGGATGAGGATTGTCTATGGTGAGAGACGCTGAGAGATATGGCGCAGAATAGAAGTCAGTGGCGCGAATGCTGTACGATCTGTCTATCGAAATCCCGTGCCCATTAAGAAAAACGAAACATCAAACAACAAAAAATTGCAAAAGGTGTACGGTGAAACACACAAAAAAATTCTGTTATCTTGTATTTTCCATGTTTAACTGTCTCACCCACTTTTCACCATGTTCTGTATCCTAATCCACCTATCCCCTTCACTGTCATTGTTGTTGCGTTGGCACCATGCTTGTTTTCAAGCCGGTGGTAAATATATATATATATATATATATATATATATATATATATATATATATATTTACAGGTTTACACCAAATGGCCAAAGGACTAAACGCTCTGATGAATCAAGTCTTTGAGAATACCGGACCGGCTACTACAAAAGCAATTCACCATAGCACTGCACTTTTCATACAATGCGCACCATTGACCTGTGGGAAAACGAAAGCACTCCAAGACTGAAGTGTGACGGGAAAGCGAGCACCGGAAGATGCAGACAGCAATTATTATCTGTTCAGATGATTTCTCATATCTTGCAGTTTAGTCTTAGGATTGAAATTATGGAGTATCAACTACAACAAAAGGAAATACCGGAAACAATCACGTGATCACCCTAGAAAAACAAGTAAGGGACGGAGTACTACCGTTTGGTTCCACAAATGCATTTTCTCTTTATTGATGCGAAAACTCTGGTAGACATATACGGAAGGATGAGTCTGCATGCCTCGCCCAGCAGCATATTTCGAGTATTTATCGGGCTAACTGAAAAAACAATCATACTTAGCCGTCTTGTTATCTCACATTGTTCCTTCTCTATCAGTTTTAATGCAATATACGTAATCCTCTTGGTGTTCTTTTTTGTTACACACGTTTTATGTGATAAACGATATTCGCGAAGACCTGCTGTTCCGTCATGGAAACCGGTAACCTGAGCCCCGGGATTTGGATTGGCGAAACACAAAAGGTCCCGCTGGGTTAGGTGTGGTATTGAACAGGACGACAGCACAGCTGTTCACCACGAAAGTTGGGTGGCGGTGGCGGGGCATTGGGCCCGAAGCGCGCCGGTGACAGCGACTAAATTACCGCACCACGACCAATGAAAAACTTTACTTCAAACGGATTCTTGCGTAAAATCAACCTTATTGACTTAGTTCACCAGCTATCCATATACGTTTAGCAACATTTAGTACAATGTTCTTTAATAACTAACGAATTGAAGAATGGTGCATGGACGATCCGCGGAAATACGCGTGCGACACTATAACAGGAGTTCAGTTAAGGCTAGAACCTGTCATAGACTCAGAATATGGAAGCTGGTACTTCGCAAACAGTTCCGTTGTGAAAAGAAACTCCGTTTACAGTAGCACGTCTGAACTGGCAGACTGTTGTGTCCTTAGGGGATCCGCCACCTACCCAACCCTCATATACGGCGTCATCAGGCTGAAGTATGCACCAAAGGCTGCCGCTCGACAAGCGAGCTAAACCAGGTCGCGCTTGGTCGAGACCTAAATCGTCGGTGAAAATCGCAACTCCTGGATGGTCAGACGAGAGCTACCGTCTGATCTAACGGGTATAAAAGAAATCAGTCAAACAAACAGGGCTAAATAGATTCTTTGGCGTAATCTACACCAGTTGAATTAGCTCCTAGTGAGTCACGGACAACACCGAATGACTGAGTTTGCAATCCGCACCTGACTGTGCGACGACTAGGGGGTGCGGCTTCGAAATGAGAAAGCCAAGTAACGTGGGTTGTACCAAAAAGCAAACGAAAACAATGATAAACAAACTGATTCAAAGCAAAGCAGTAAAGCATGCAAAACTTACCGAGGAAGACAAATGAATAGACGGGGTGATATTGTTCAAATCAAAGCTGTCGCTCTCCTGATCCTCAGCAATATTGGGAAAACATGACTCCATAGGCTAGGTTGTAGAAAACATAAAGAATCAGTTGAATAAGTTAGATAAATACACAGAAACATTAATGGATGGAAGAATAATCAAACCAAGAATACCAAAGTAATACATCGTTGCTAACGGCAATGAAAATATAAATGTATGTGGGGCTTGATAACTAATGCATCATCCGAAGTCGCAAAGCTCCTGTTGCCGGTTGTCCATTTTGTTGCGAGTGATGCCATGTGATGAAAAATAGCGCCTCACAAAGTGCAAATTTGGGATTAGGCTGTCGTGTAATCCCGCAGATATTTTGTTTTATTTTTCATCCAATTCAGTGTATTCAGTTACCACATTGCTCCCCAGTTTTAACATAGACAAATGGACAGTGAGATGTTCTATGAGACTTAGTCCTCAGACTTACAGAATTCAAATCCGACGAAGCCGGAGATACAGTAGATTCTAAATCCATCGTGCTGATATCCACTGGCAAGAAATTGTTGGCATGCTGTAGTCCCGAGTCAGAATTCCGTGTCGGATTGGAACCAGTTTCGTCTGAATTCGGGCAGACCGAATTCAACAAAATCCCTGATGATTCGTGGGACTGGGAGGGTGATTGATCTACTACTTCGTCATCGGTGTGGGTGGAGAGAGTCGCGTTTGAGTAATGCGCCGAATTAGCCGCCGCCGCCACAGCCGTGGACGAACAGCCGGGCGGGAGGGTGGATACGGAGGTGACGACCGGAACCGCATTCCCATTTAGCTGACCTGGCCGTGTGGAGACCAAAACAGAGGAGGGATGCTGTGGATTCACGGTTTTTTCTTGTGCAGAGTGCGGGGACGATTGCTGTTGTTGTTGCTGCCGCTGTTGTGGTTGCTGCGATGATTGAGACGCATTCGTATTTGCCTGTTAGGGAGAGAGACAGCAAAAAATCAACACCTGCAACATGGACAAGGAACTCATGAGCAAAGCGTGCAGTTGTAATGGGTGGTCAAACTTACTAAGTGGCATTTCAGTACTACCAATTCGCGATGTGACTGTACAGGAATCAGTCTTTGGATTTGTGGCAGACATCCTAGGCACAAATTTATCTGTTATTTTGCCTCTTCTGAGTCTCTTTCCCCAACAATCTTCGTTAACAGTTAACAGGGTGGNCAGGGTGGTGGTGGCGCAGTGGTTTAGTCGCTGTCACCGGCGTGCTCTGGACCCTATGGTCCGAGGTTCGAGCCCCGCCACCGCCGCCCGACTTTGGTGGTAGGCAGCTCTGCTGTCGTCCGGTTCAATACCACGCTTAACCTATCGGGGCCTTGTGTGATTCGCCACTTCAAGTTCCGGGGCTTAGGTTGCCGATTTCAACTTAACAACAGGTCCTCGTGACTATGGGGTTTATCCCGTCTGCTGTTCATCACACCTAGGTGTGTAATAAAAAAAGATGAGTTCAAAGATGCTACTTTTCACGATAGCTCTATTTCACGACAAACGGTCACTTATGAGCCGTGGTTGGCACGGTGTTAGCACATACGTCTTCATTGGGATGGGTTCGGAGTTCAAAGCCCGGACTCAACGGTGGATATGCGCTACTGATGAGCTCTAATAACAGGTAAACTCGAGTGTATGGTTGACTGGAAGAAATAAGGTGGTGGTGAAGTCTGGTCAGTTCAAATCAACAGAGTCCGCCATATGTTTCACCAATGAACATGACACTTATCTCTTTTGCCGGAGTGAGACGAACGACTAACTAATTACTGATTAACCTGTCCCAGATATTTACTAATTTCAACTAATTTCATGTATGAAACCTAGCAGGAACGCCGCAGATGGGAATACCTTTATTCACAGAAAATTGATTACCGGATTTTATCATTGATCACACAATTTAGAAAAGCGTATGCTCCGTTCTTGGAGTGTCGTAGAGTTATGCTCGTGTATTGCTTGTTAGAGAGCATCTTTACGATAATGACAAATCTCTATCCCTGCATTAAGAAATACGGAGCTTATGGTTGTCTTATACGCCAAGGACCGAGACCACTGTTACCTTCTTCATATACGTATGTCAACTACAGACTGATCGTCAGGACGGGAGGAGGATAGACAGCGACTGACGGTGTTCGAATACCATTGTCCACGACGCACTGCATAAGTTCGGATGGGACAATCAGACGAGCAACGTCGCGATTAGGCAGAGTTCTAGATGACGGCGGTCATGCACTGTAGGAGGTGCAAGATCTCCATAGATTGCATCGACTGGAGCATGTATCTCCGAATAGGCTTTCCTGAGGTGCGGCGGTATCGGATGCACGTATTCGCAGTGAGAAAAGTGAAGGTGGTCAAACCTACATCTGGTATGAGGACATGAAAACTTTGAACAAGAGAATTTGTCACATAAGCTGCGTTGCGCTTCACGTTACAGAATTCGGACCCAGTCCGATCGACTAACTAGAGACACTTGAGACGCTCGTGCACTTAATCACTTTCTGATCAGATTTGGATTACTTACTTTAACTCTTTCACTTCCTCATTTCTCACTGGTAGCAGCAAAACCGTCGCAGGACAATGCAAAGTTGATGGTTGTTTAAACTTAAGAAGAAAATGACATAATAACCAGTGATAGAACTCTTCGAGAATGAAAACACTCAGCCGGATATCTACTCAAAAATGAACAATTTCATAGCCTTTGAGACGCTTGACGGTATTCCAATATAAGATGAAAGATGAAGATTTGGTTGATGCAACTGCATGTGAACGGTCCAAGTAATCCGTGTTCAGTACATGCTTTAAAAACATCCGTTCTTCAATCTTTCTTTGCACATAGAGCTAATGAACACAGATAGCATAAGTATTGTCGCATGATTATCGTTGGGAGGAGGCACTCATCTTTGTTACTTATATCAACATGATCAATTTCACTCACTCGAGATATTGTAGACAACAGACAGGACAGAACAGAGGAGAATTGATCAGACTGACCTAATTTCCGAACATGTGTGACAAAAATAGTAAACAGAAATGTCCGGAGTAGGCCGAGCGCGCTGGTTCGGGCGATGGACTGGGAACAGCGAGATGAGGCGATAGGAAGATCAGAATCAGCGTATAAAGAAAGCAAGAGAGGAAGGGGCAGTGAATGGAGCAGACGAAGCTGTAGTCGGGACAAGACAACAAGATAAACTCACTGCTTGTGAGGACGCACGATGATCGGATCCGCTCAGAAAGGCCAACAACGCGCTTGCACCTACGCTTCGAGTAGGCTGATTTGGGTTACGCGCTGGATTTGAATCGGACAGGGGTGAACTTTGAGACACGGATGCTGCATGGTTCATGAATGGATATACAGAAGGCGTAGGACTGCTAATTATCAATTTGGAACCGCTGGATCGACGTTCACCGGATGGACGTGCTGCCTGGTCCGCGTGAGACATACGTTCTTCGTTCAGAGTTTGCTGACGCATTCTCTGTTGCCTAGCACATGTTCGGGACATTATCAATGATCACAATCGTGAAAAGACGTCATACGGTGTGAAGTGAATGTCTAGTGGAAGTAGAGATGTAAACAAGAAACAGAACATCAAAAGAAACGAGGATGAACACTAAACATGGAAATGTAGAAAGGAAAACCATTCCAATCTAGTCGTTTTGGTGTTGTGTACCACGTGGACATCTCAAGATAAGTTGCGCTATAAACACAATTCAACTACAACGGCATCAAAGCGAAAATGGTGCAAATGTGTGAAATAATGGTATCATTCTGAAATTACAAATGTTGTGAAATCGACAGTGGTGATAACATTCTGCTGTTGATAATGATGAAAAAAGTAATTGCATACGAGATGACACATAGGGCAATGATAACTCCGAGTGGATACTAGTCACCTGGATTTTCCACAGTGGACGAAAATGAACGGAGTTTTGGCGCAAACGGCTCGGAACAGGCGGAAGAACATTTCTAATCAGTCCCTATTCTCATACTAGTTGAAGTTTCACATGTATTCATTTCAGCCAGTTGGGAACCTAATGACCACCAATGGGTCACAGATATTCCCGGTATTACTTAGGATCTCTTTTAAGCTACCTACTTAAGATCCCTAGATCCCACCACCCATATGCGTGAACTGGTCTGGTAAGCCGAAAATTGACCAGCCTGTAATGTTTCATATTCTTATTGCGAATGCTAATAGCGGCAATAACAGCGCTGCCATGTCCCACGTTTTTTTGTGACGGGAAACAATTATTAAACGGAAAGTCATGAACTAACGACTAATATCAATACTACCACCGTCTCCGGCAGATGCTAGCCGTTCCAAACCTTGCACATAGTTTTAACGGTTCTACATTGATTTGAATTCCTTGTGGTTGGGTCTTTCGCATTTACAAACATACAACTCGTTGGCTTTTGCATCATTGTTGCTGTGATACGCAATCATCCCATTCAACCGAGTGGTAGTTGTAAAGCAGTCGTTGCCATTAGCTTGCAAGGAGCTAAGGTTTGGGAC